CCTGCCCATGATGGATGCAAACATCCCACTGATGTTACTGTCCGGTGTGAATACACAGTAAGAGGAGACAGTCGGGAGTTTCTGTAACTGATTAAGAGAAGCCCAGAGCGTCTGTGTCAGACCCAGTAGAATCACCCTGTTGCCATGACAAGTGTCCAGTGAGGTAGAAAGGCTGGTCTGGAAGGATTCCAAAGACTTGTGAGTCGTAATGCTTCTAGGACCACATTCCATCCACAGGGAGACTGGTTTTTCTGAACCTGACAAATGCTACTCATAAAACCCAGGGCTGCATTACAAATGGCAAGAGGGAGAATAGTCCACAGCTAAAGCAAGAATAGCAAACCTAAGGAATGCTGTGAGATGGAAGACCCATTCAGGACAGCGTAACACTGGTGCTGTCAGGCAATAATTCTCATATTGTGCAAAAGAAAAAGGGGCAGTGTAGGAACAAGTCTCCTCAAAAAGCAGGGCTGGCCCCATATAGTCACCTATTCCCGAGTGTCCGGCCTGGCTGCCCATCATCACTCCGACTGCCACAGTAGTGGTCTCCTGCCATTGTATTCATGCCTTTGGGTGGCCATGGAAGAACACTGGTAAAGTGGGAGAAGTGTTCATAAACTGACTCAGGAACAGTCATTTCCATATGAGTGCCCAACAGTACCTGAGAATTTGGCAAAGAGAGCTGGATGTTTGGCACAGTAATTGAGTGGCTGCTTGGGTCACCCACGTCCCATATGGGAGTGCCTGGTTTGAGTCCTGCCTCTGCTTCTGATCCTGCTTCCTGCTTATGCATACTGTGGGAGGCACCATTGTCAGTGCAGGTACTTGCCACCCATGTGGGAGACCCAGCTTGAGTTGCTCTGGGCTCTGGGCTGGCCCAGCCCTGGCTGTTGCAGACAGATCTCTCAGTCTTTGTCTCTCTGCTGTTCAAATAAAGTGAAAATAATTAAATAGAAATTTTAAGGAAAGGGGGGCTGGCATTGTGACATAGCATGTTAAACTTCTAACTGCAAAGCCAGCATCCCATATAAGCAGCAGTTTGAGACCCAGCTGTTCCACTTCCAATCCAGCTCCCTGCTAGTGTGCCTGGGAAAGCAGCAGAAGATGGCCCAAGTTGCCTGGGCCCTTGCCAGTCACAATGAAACCCTGGGAGAGGCTCTGGGGTCCTGGCTTCGTCCTGGCCCAGTCTTGGCTGTTGCAGCCATTTAGGGAGTGAACCAGTAGATGGAAGATCTCTTCTCTCTCTCTCCCTCTCCCTCTCTCCTCACCCCCGTGTGCATTTCCTCTTCTCTCTGTAACTCTGCCTTTCAAATGAATTTTTTAAAAAAAGAAAAAAATAAATTTTAAGGAAAGGAACTTGGCAAAGAGCCTTTCTGGAGAGCATAGACCAGGGGTATTTAATAGCATGGACAGAACATGTCGTAACTTATACTGAGTAAGAGGTAAACTCTGGAAGAAAGGAACGAGAGAGTCATGAGGATGTGAGATTTGGAGCAGACACATAGGGGAGCAGGAAGCTTAGGGATGGTTGCATGGGGGTCAACCAAAGCCAGTTTTGCTGATACCAACGTTGTTCCTGGAGATGACTCTGTTGGGAGTTTCTCCAATTAAATGAAGAAAAATACAGAGTCTATGTCTGACCCAGGGCAGACTGCCACTTCTCTTCCCTATTCATCATATTGCCCCACTTCCTCTGACACTGGCCTCTTCTCTCTAAGGGATTCGGGTTGCAGGACTGACCAAAGGGCAAGGGACAAGGGAAGGCACAAGAATATTTAAGGATCTCCACTGTAGAGCACCTGCCTTGCTAATGAATTCATAGCTGTGGTATACATTATCCCGTTCCCTGCTTCCAAAGCCATCCAAAAATCCATATGGAGTTTATTTAGCAAGGTCACAAATACTGGGCATCACCATCATTAACTATTTGGAAGAAATCCAATTGCACATCGATGTAGAGAACAGAACCACAGACAGAGAGGGATCTTGCAGTGATTACAAGAACAGTATTAGATGAGTTCACAGAATCTTGAGAAGATACGTGGCCTACGTGCTTGGCCCCAAATAAAAGACTTTCTATGACTCTGCCTTTTTATGATTTTAATAACATCTAGCTCAATGTTTCAAATCACTTCACTTTCTTTGAGTTTTGGCTTGTTAGCATACAGATGGGTATTACAGATTTTTTCAAAGTGAGCATTCTCACTTTGCTATGCTAATCAAGCACAGGGACACCCTTCTGAGCGCCTGGGGAATTAGGAGCCCTTTTTGAGCCACAAGTTCTGGATTTACTGCAGCAGAAGAAACAGCCTCAGATTGCAGTCCTGGCTGGGCTGTGCGCAAGGTGAGTAGTTCCAGACAAGTCACTTTTTTTCTTTAACTGTACCTTTAAAAATCAGGGTTATAGTAGTTCCCTAAGAAGGCTGCGGGACAGGTGTTTGGGTTGCCAGTTAAGATGCCCATGTATCTGAGTGCCTGAGTTCAATGCCCGGCTCTGCTCTTGACTATGATTTCCTGCTAATGTGGACCCTGGCAGGCAGAACTGATGGCTCCAATGGTTGGCTCCCTGCTACCCATGTGGGAGACCTAGATTCGAGTTCCCAGGTCCCAGCTCCTGGCTTTGGCTTTGCATCTGGGGAGTCATCCAGCAGATAGGAGCTCTGTCTCTCAAATAAATAAATAAAATTGAAAATAAGAGAAAATAAAATAAAGATGGTTGTATAAATTAAATAAGCTCAGACCTGAGGAATGTGCTTTGTACAATGTAAAGTGCCATGAATAAAAAGCTGGAATATTCCTTAGGTGGGTTTCTCAGATCAGTAGTAATGGAAAATTGGAAAGATGAGGAATTTGTTCGACAAGAAGGTGGTAGGAGGGGATGGGGCTTATTTAATATATAGTTTGGGTCCTGAATGCTAAATTAGGTCAGTCAATACTCAGTATATCACCAAACACAATATTTAAACTGAAATTATATTTTCTGGGAGGTGGAACACAGAGTGGGGACAGTGTTAGTGGCCTGAGTTATTTTCCATGTTGATAAGCATGTGAGTTTTTTTTTTTTTAATACTATATAAAGGTTTATTTTTGTTTCTTTGAAAGTCAGAGCTAGAGAGAGAGAGAGAGAGAGAGAGAGAGAGAGCTTTTCCATCAGCTATTCATTCCCCAGATGGCTGCAACAGCCAGGGCTGGGCTCAGCTGAAGCCAGGAGCTTCATCTATGTCCCCCACATGGCTGCAGGGGCTCAAGCACTTGGGCCATCTTCCACTGCTTTTCCCAGGCCATTAGCAGGGAGCTGGATGGGAAGTCTAACAATGGGATGTGAACCAGAACCCAGATGGGATGCCTGATTGCAGGTGACAGCTTTACCGGCTATGCCACAACACCAGCCCCAGCACATGGATTTTAAGACACTAAAGGGATTACGGTGTAGAAACCTGTCTGTGATGAACTTGAGAAGCCTTAATATGCTTATGATTTTCTCGATTTTCAATTTATTTATTTATTTCTTTGAGAAGCAGAAAGAGACAGACTGAGATAGAAAGCTTACATCTGCTGGTTCATCCCCTAAAATACCCACAACGTCTGGGACCGGCCTGGGACTGAAGCTGGGAGCTGGAAATTCAATTCAGGTCTCCCCCATGGATTTCAGAAACCCAACTACTTGAGCCAATCCTGCTGCCTCCCAGGGTGAGCATTAGCAGGAAGCCAGAGCTGCAAGTTCAATCTAGATATGCAATGTGGAGAGCAAACGTATTAACCGGTGCTTACCCAGTAGGCTAAACACCTGTCCCTCCCCTGGTTTTTAACATCATTTGTTTCACAGAATCTGAGATCTTCTTATAAACTCCTAATGTGGAAATACATTTGTAAGTAGTTAGAAGCGGAGCTGGGGCTTTGGACTATTGCTTTGTGCACAGAGATCTGGACAAACTTGCTCCAGCCCTGCTTGTCTGGGTCACCGTTGCTTATTTTCAGGCTCCAGTAACCGAAATACCTCAGAACATATAGCCAGACTGGCTGTATTTACTATTTACACCTCTATACACATGCATGAATGAAAAGTCAAATGGAAATGTATAAAGGCTCTTCAAAATCTCATGGAAAATGCAGAGAAGGTAAAAAAACTTTCATGGAGTTTAAGAAAATTTGGCACCAAAATAAACTTACTTTAATTCACTTTTTCCATGAACTTCTTGGAGCAACCTTCATATTCTTAGAAATATCTAAAAATGGACTAATTATGTTATTTGTGATGTCTGGTACTGGTAGAATATGAGATGTTCTCTGAATGTTGGGATTAGATTTTTTTTTTTTAACAGTTGCTTCATTCCGTTTCTGGATTGGAATTTTCTTACATGTGGTTAGCAAAAGTCACTACTTTTCCAAGACTATATCTTCCAAAAAAAAATTACCACCTTTTTTTTTTTTTTTTGTATACAGATAGAGTTATAGACAGTGAGAGAGAGAGACAGAGAGAAAGGTCTTCCTTCTGCTGGTTCATCCCCCAAATGGCTGCTGCAGCCGGAGCTGCACCCATTCGAAGTCAGGAGCCAGGTGCTTCCTCCTGGTCTCCCACGTGGGTGCAGGGACCCAAGCACTTGGGCCATCCTCCCGGGCCACAGCAGAGAGCTGGACTGGAGGAGGAGCAACCAGGACTAGAATGGGCGGCCATATGGGATGCCAGCGCCACAGGTGGAGGATTAACCAAGTGAGCCACGGCGCCGGCCCACCACCCTCCTTGTTGCATGGCATCTCAATGATGCCTGAGCATTATGGCAGGCTCCTGCCTGGACACCTCCTTTATTCTCAGTGGACACTGCATTACAGTACTGTTTTTTGTTCATTTTGTTCCCTTAGCACACTATTGAAATAAACAGTGATGGAATGAAGAAGGAGGAGTGGACTGGATGCTAGGGGTTGAGAAGTTCAGAAATATAAATACATCCCTCTTGAGTTTTCAGTTCAGAGACCATCGACTTAGATTTCCTCTCACTCACCATTGCGTGATTCAGCCACACCGGGAAGATGGCATCTGCCGATCTGGGGTAAACAAGTTCTCGGTTATAGAGAAAGATGGTCCAGAATGACAGAAATATAAACTGGAAAATAAAACACAAACACAACCTCATTAGGGTTCCTTCTCATTCAAGCTTTCTAAGACAACCAGGGACACTGCAAAATAAAATTACAGCCCCATTTTCAAGATAGGTCCCTGAATGTTATGAGAGCAAAAATGAAAAGGGAAAAATGTTCCTTGTAGAATTGTTCTATCTATCCTCTCTGGGAATTCCTCCATCTATGAGTGAGTAGGCATCAATTATTTGTTACCATGGCAGGCAAAGATATAGATAAGCAGAAATCAAGTTTGCCAGTTATTAGCTTTACCCAGTGACTTCTTTCTCCTCTAAGCTTTCATAAGGAGTCCTGGACTGGGCACATGGAGTAGCTTGAGTCATACAAGTTCCTTGCCCATCCTCTAAGTAGGCATGGCAAGGACAAGCATTAAGGCTGGGAGAGCAGATGAGGAGTGACAAGCTCCCAGGGTCATTCATGAGCTAAACTGGGACTTGGATCTCTCCTTTGCTCAGAAATTTGAATTGATCTCATCCCCCGCACTCCTTGGCTGTCTAGTCAATGTATCTGTGTTACAAAGTCAGTGCAAGATAGGGATGGGTGGTTATTAATCTTCTGATCTTCCTCTTTTCTGAAGTTTCCTATGTTCAATTCCTAAGCCTTAAGAAACTAACAGACTTCATTGTATATTTTAAAAACTTGGCCTCAAGAAGATTTTGTGGGGGTGGAGGTGGAGGTGGAGGTATTCTGCAAGAGAATCCCTGGAACGCTAGTGCATGCTCTGCTGTCTCAAAATTCATTAGTGTTTGGAGAGCTCCATTTTGCATTTGGTTTTTAAGTCTTGGTACTACAGGAAGCAGGACCAGGACAGGTGGAAGAAGGTAGTCATTCCTAATTATAGCCAGCACTCCTTGCTTGATCTCAGTTTGCCTCCAGTCTACCTTATGAATGAGAATCTGAATAATGTCATAGAAATGTGGACAGCATCAGCAAACAAGCTGGCATATGTTTGCTTCCTTCTAATGTCCATTCATTCCATGAAATGATGAGGCACCTACTGTATACACAACACTGGCCTTTCCTTCCTTGAGGGCCTTTTCCAGGTGTCAACTTGGAAGGTCTCACTTCTTTTTAAAATAATGTTGGTATTTGATGGCTTTCCACTTGCAGAAGTAACATGTGCTTGTTGTAGCAAATAAAACAAGATGGATCTAAGGGAAATTAACCATCTGTCTCCCCAGGGCTCTGTATTGCTGACATGATAATGGAACCAAGGTTGTCCCAGTTGTCAAGTTGTCCCTTGGTATCCATGGGGATGGATTCTAGGACCCTCTATGGATACGAAAATACACACGTCTCTATTATAAATGGCATTTAACATACTCACATCTTCCCATATACTTAACCCTTCTCTGTATTGTGTATATTACCTAATAAAGTATATAATGTCTAATTGTACAAGTACTTTAACTCATATCTAGGCTGCCTATAATACCTAATCAAGACTTGCTTTATTGTCATTTTAATTTTTTCTTGACTATTTTTGACCTATGGTTGGTTGAACCTGCAAATATGGTGGGTATTTTGATTCAGAAAGATCCTTCAAACTTCCCATTAGGCAGCACTAGAAACCTTCAATCAAGAGACAAATGTTCGTGGTAAAGCTGACCAGTAATGTGCCTTGTGCTCTATTTCCTGAAGACACTGGACAATGTGATGCAGTTGTTAGACAAGGTATTTACGCACATGCAGTTGCTCTGATTTACAATAATGGGCTCCCAAATAGCCTTGCTGCCCGGGAGAAGTGTTCATCCATATGTCCATGTCTGTTATATTGGGTACACGTTTCGCTAACTCACCGTCGATACAGGAAAAGCCAGAGTGGTGAAAAGCAGGTCTCTGAAGGCAGTTACAAACTTAATGTTTTTTCTTCCTGTGATTCTTTTCAGCACATCATCCAGGCAGGCGACCCCGAAGAAAATGGCCTGCAAGAGCTAAATTCATTACAACAAATGAGGGCATTTTCATTTGCTTTAATTAATACATTCTTCACTGATGTAAACCTCCATTCCTCAGGGAGCAATGTTGATTTGAGAGGGAGGGGGCTGTGGGGTTGTTTTGGTTAACAGCCAATTCAAGGACTGGGCTTCCAGCTCATTGGGCCTTGACCTTGCTGGCTAAAACTGATTGAGGAAATTTGTTTAGGGGATAATAATGTGTACAGTATTTAGTGTAATGGGCTTGAGCTAAAATGGAAGCAAAATAGAGTCAGCTTAAAAGGAGACTGTAATGAGATAGATACCTGGGCTGCACAGAGGTGGGAAGAAGCAAAAAATAAAAATAAAAAATAAAAATAGCACAATGGAAAGAACCAGACACGGTGGTGGACACCAGACAGACTCCTAGGAAGAAAAATTAAGAAAAAAATACCCAGCGCTGAAATCTCAAGTTGGATCCACGGTGGAGCTCTGTGCTCTCCTGGTGAAATGCGCAGGACAGTGTCCTACTTCTGTGGGAGAGCAGCCAGTGACCCTCTTTGCTTAGAGAGGGTGCCCCAGGGCCATACAGAGAAAATCTGGCTGAGGAAGTGAATGAAACACTTAGGGATAGAGTAAGCCATGGACGCTGGTGAGCTATTGGGTATCGGGAAAGCCCTGAGGCCAGCCCAAAGAGAAACAGTATCTTTTAAAGAAAGTGCAGGTTAAACAGGGACCAGAGTGTTTCAGATCTTGGGTTTTGTGGATTTGAAATGTCTGCACATACACAACGAGAACTCTTGAAGATGGGGCCCAAATCTAAGCCCCAAATTCACTTATGTTTCCTATACACCTTATACACGTGGCCTGAAGGTAATTTGACAAAATGTTTTTATGGCACCTGTGTTCTGACCACAATCTGACAAAGGTGTGGAATTTTCTGCTGTGGCACGGTGTTTAAAAAAAAGTTTCCAATACTGGAGCTTTTCTGATTTTGGATTTTTGAATTGGGGATGCTCAACTCCTAAGACATCAAAGGCAAACTTTGCCCATTCTTTCTGTCTTGCACAATTCCAAGGCTTCTGGTTGAAGGCCTGGAGGGTCCCAATCATACAGGGGTTGGTTTGGTTTTGAGTTAGGCTTGTAGAGGATCCTGATTAACCACTGAATACTCCAAGTGGATTCCAGAGGGCAACTGAGACTCTGCTTCTAGGGCAGGAATCAGGCAAGCTCTGGACCAGGGATTGCTGCTGGGGACAATCTCTGAGGTATGGACTCCAGGAGAGATCTAGCAGAGTTGGGCTCCTGCCACTCCCTGGGCTTGGGGGAAGGAGTAGAGAGTGTGCAGATTCAGCCAGTGCCACTCCCACCTGGGTACTAGGGCCAGAAGCATTGCATCATGGGAGCTGGACCCTGGCCCCACCCTAGACTATGGAAACAAGAGTTTAGCAAGAGGGTCCAGGAAGGTGGTTTTTTTTTTTTTTTTTTTAAATAAGTTCTCCAAGCAATCCTTATACAGGACAAAGAACCACTGGATTAGACATATATTTGTCAAAAATCTTGACTACTCAGTGCTCTAATAACTGTTTACTCATCGCTTGTTTTGTGCCAGGAAGCTTTTCAGTCTCATAACAACTTCATGAGGTCAGATTATGATGAATCCCCCACCCCCACCCCAGCACCATTGTCCAGATGAGGAGATAGAGGCACGGGGATTCTTGCCTAAAGTTTCATTAACTGCTAAATGCCAATTTGAAAGGCAGAGTTTGGTCCTTGAGCCAGAATTTAAAGAGAATACATACACGTCTCTCTCTATCAACTACCTGGTTCCTCAGAACAGTTCAGATAAAGCACTGTAGGAGATCTGAAGAGAGATCATTAGGGGCAGGCATTGGGCCTACCAGCTGAGACACAGGGGTCCCACTGTGGGACTGATGCCCAACCCTGGCTCCTGATTCCAGCTTCCTGCTAATGCAGACTCTAGGAGGCAGCAGGTGATGGCTGAGTACCTGGATCCTTACAATCACCATAATGGAGACCTGGACCGGGTTCCCGGTCCCTGGCTTCAAGCTCAGCCCAGCCCCTGCTTTTTGGGCACTTGAGTGACTCAGAGGATGGAAGATCTCTCTGCTCTCTCACTCCCCACCCTGCACTGTTTCTCTGCCTCTTAAATAAATACATAAATTTTAAGAAATAATATACAGTTACCCCCAGGTGGGAGAATTGAGAACAGTTTAAAAAAATACGGATGTCTGATTCCCACTCCCAGAGATTCTAATTTAATGGGCCTGGGAGTGTGGCTTAGGCTTTTGCATTTTTTAATTCCTCCCAGGTGATTCTAACTCTCGGCAGCTGAAGTTGAGAACCACCTGCATAAATGAACTTGCCTTTGGGAAGTTCAGACCTGGCAGTCTCAAGACAAGAGGAGCTGGGGAGATGGAGGTGGCTGAAGCCTGGTGGTGGGGTCAGGCTGCTGGGCAGAGATGGGGGCGGGGGGGACGAGAGCAGTAGCGGGAAGCAGGGGCTGGGGACATGCTCTCAAGCAAGGGACAGGAGGAGAAAGGGCAGAGACAGTGGTCCGGAACCATCAGGTGGCAGAAAACCAGGGCTGGACAAGAAATCCTGGTGCTTAAAGGAGGCGGTGTCACACACACAGGAAGAGAGGATTTCAGGGAGGGGCCAGGCAACAGTGTTAAATGCCAACAGGGGTCGCTCTTCTCCACCCCCCACCAGCAGTCTCATTACTGTTGGTGCTTTTGACATCCAGTCCCTGGGGCCTGCAGATTTGGACGCACAGTCATTTGCATGAGGGTGTCAGGAAGACTTCCTCCCATTTCTGCTCCCGCCCCAACAGCTCTCACCCCACCCCAGATTTCAACCCAACAGCTCAGCCCACAGAGGCCCCTGCTTTCCTTAGGCTAAGCAGGCTTTGAGCCTGGGCTCCGGGCAAAAGGCCTGCCCTGTTCCACTAGGGCAGCGGTTAATCACGCCCTGAGCACGTGCCAGGGCTTCCCTCCTCGGGGAGAGGCAGTCTCTGCCCACGTGTGACGTCCGTGTGACTTGGCCTTAGCTTCCTGGAGTCAGGATGAGTCAGGCGCGTCCTGACTTTCTCCGTCTCTCCCAGTGGCAGGAGATGGAAATCAGATGGAGGCAAGGAGCCCATGACTCAGACCCTCCAGGGCTCTCCTCCATCAGCAGGAATGGGCTCCCCACTGCGAACTTGCCGATCACCTCGCCCCGCCTCGCCCACCTGCGGCTCCCACGCTGCTTCCTGGGCCATCTCAGATGCTGACGAGGGGCGCGAGGCAGCCTGGTCGCTGCTGCGGTGACTCAACACTGACATACCGATATCTGTATCAACGAGGACCACGTGGGGCAGCCCCACACAGACGCTCAGAGGGAGGGGCTAGGGAGTTGCCAGGAGAAAGACACAGGCAAGGGCTGGGCATAGAGGAGCCCTTGGGGCTGGATTGCAGGGGGAGGAGCCCTGGGCTCCATGGGGAGGCTGTGAAAGGCAGGGTAGGGTCAGCCCATTCAAGCGGGGAGCGGTCTGCCCATTCTCCAAGGTCAGCACACGTGGGGTTGTTCAAAGACACACAGGAAGGACACACAGGAGGAAACATAGGAGCTGTTTAGTGTCCCCCCCCCCCCCCGCCCAAACAAATTTATACTTTGAGGTCCCGAACTCAGTGCCTCACAACGTGACTGTATTTGAAGGTAAGTTTTTTTTTTAAGATTTATTTATTTAGTTTGAAAGTCAGAGAGAGAAAGAGAGAGAGATCTTCCATTTGCTGGTTCACTCTCTCCAAATAGCCACAATGGCCAGGGCTGAGCCAGGCCACAGCCAAGAGCCAAGGAGCCGCCTTCTGCGTCTCCCACGTGGGTGCAGGGGCCCAAGCACTTAGGCCATGCTCCACTGCTTTCCCAGGTGCATTAGCAGGGAGAGAGATTGGAAATGGAGCAGCTGGGACTTGAACTGGTATCCATATATGATGCCAGTATCGCAGGCAGCAGTTTATCCACTGTGTCACAACACTGATCCCTGCGATAGACTCTTTAAAGAGGGAATTATATTAAATGAGACCATTAGATGGGCTCAAATCTAACAGGACTGATGTCCTTATAGGAAAGGATGAGGACGCACACACAGAACAAACACTGTGACAACACAGGGAGAAGGCAGGTGTCTGTAAGTCAGAGAGAGAGGTCTCGGATGAAACCAGCCCTGCCACGTTTTAACCACAGACCTCCAGCACCTGGAACTGTGAGCAAACCAAGCTCAGTTGTTTAAGCCAGCTGGTCTGTGGTGCTTTGTCGCTGCAGCCCAGTAAGCCACACAGTAACCTTAGATGGTGACAGCAACAACTGGTCATCCCCGGAGAATCTTGCAGCAGAACCCCTGTCACTAGCCATGCTCACCTTTCTGGCTGCCCCAGGAAGCAGATTTCAGGCTACCTTCTTGTTCAAAGCTTACTTCTCAGCTGCTGCTCTCTGGTTTGTCTTTTCTACTGGTTCTTCCCCAATTCTGTGGCAGTTGAGTGTTCTGAGTCTTTTCCTGAACACAGTTCTAAATCCGTTAGCTGTCTTTCCTTTCCGTTGCTAGCTAACAAATTACCACCTGCGTGCACCAGAGCTGAATTTACATGTTTATAACTAATGCAATTTAAGGAACCATACGGTTTTTACAGCTATGTGTCTTTACAGAGCCACCAAAAAAAAAAAAAAAAAAAAAAAAACTTGAAATTACGGCTCCTTACCCTTTCTAAGCCATCAAGTTTATTCCCCTGCCTTTTGTCACAGCCCTCTTAAACTACCCCAGGAAATGAGAATTTCTCCCATTTAAAAAGTAATTCCAAAGAGGGAGATTCCACACATTTCTGCATCAAGATGTTACGGCTCTCGATGGATGAGTCAACTCACCCAACGCCCAGCTGAGGTCTCTGAGCCTGATTCAGGCAGGATGGGACTTTCTTATTCCTCTCCCTCCACATAGTGAAATTTCTGCATGGAGAACACTATTCCTGAATGAAAGGGCAGATGAGGATGAGCTATGATGAGCCTTTTATGTCACACGGCACTGTTTGGACAGGCTGAAGGCAGACACATGTAATAGGGGAGGGTTCATGGAAAAGTGTGTGGGAATGTGTATTGCAAAAAAGCTTCACGTGGATTAGAAAAATGTTTGCAGGAGGGGCCAGTGCTGTGGCATAGTTGGTTCAGCTTCTGCCTATGGCGGCAGCATCCCATATTGCTCCTCTTCTGATCTAGCTCTCTAATAATGGCCTGGGAAAGCAGTGGAGGGCAGCCCATTTTCTTGGGCCTCTGCACCCAACTGAGAGACCCAGAAGAAGCTCCTGGCTCCTGGCTTCAGAATGACTCAGCTCTGACTATTGTGGTCATTTGGGGAGTGAACCAGCAGATGGAAGACCTCTCTCTCTCTGTCTCTCCCTCTCCCTTTCTGCCTTTCGGCAACTCTCTCAAATAAATAAATCTTAATATTTGTTTGAAAGTAAATATTTTAGTTCCACTTTTTTGTGCACTTTGTGTAGTATCCTCACACTATTTTAGTCATCATGCATGTGCATTTAGCTTAAGTAAGAGAGAGTAAAAGAGTGAATTAAAGAACATCAGAGGGAAAATAATGTGAATAAAATATGCAATAATGAGGAGGAAAAAAATGAGACCAAGAACATCAAGAGACAGGTTAGAAGGAAGAAATATTGGAGCGGCTGGCCAGGGGTGGGTGTTTGGACTGGAAGTTAACACATACATTAAGACACCCATTTCCCATGGCTGGCATTGTGGTGCAGCAGACTAAGCCACACCTGGAAACACTGGCATCCCATATGAGAGGGCCAGTTTGAGCCCTAGCTGGTCTGCTTTGAATCCAGGTTCCTGATAAGGTGCCTGGGAAGGCAGCAGAAGATGGCCTGAGTAATTGGGACTCTGCCATAGAATGGAGTTTCCAGCTCATGGCTTCTACCTAGTCCAGAACTTGCTGTTGCCGGCATTTGGGGGAGTAAACCAGATGAGGTTGCAGATGAGGAGAAGGTAGCAGGTTTACGGTCTTTATGTTTACTATTTTACACAATGACAATCAGGTTTGAGGGACAGAATCTGACAATCCCAAAATGTGCTTGCAAGATGTGCATTGAGGAATGTCCTCAGAGCTTCCACGAGGAGGAGGAGGGAGGGGAGGAGGGAGATTGGGGGATGGGGGAGCTGAGAGCAGTTCAGCTGCACAGAATCCACTTATTCCAGGAGGAGTCCTGGAACTGAGCTGGCTCTGCAAATGTGTCCCAGAGCAGGGCTTCGTACCCCATATCAACTAGTCTTGGATGCAGCAAAACCAGCAAGAAGCCTAACCCTTGGCGAGGCAGCTCCCCTCTTCTGAGGGCCTCCTGGGGTGGGGACATCAGCCATGAGCCATCAGTAGCCAACATGTTCCTCCTAGTAGCTGGGAAATGAGTACACTGGGGCTGGGAAGGCTGAGCTGGTCTGGGTGCCTCCCTGCAGTAGCCACTACCCAGAAGGAGACTGATGCACAGAAAAGTGAGTAGATCACCCAAGATCACACAGCAGATGAACGCAGAGCTCAGCCTTCAAGCCCTGCTCTCACTACTGTGTGTACAAAAGCTACCAGACTTCCTTTCCAACTGGGCCCTACAAGACGGTGACTGCAAAGAAGGGTGGCGAGAAGAATAGCCATTCTGCCATCAACCAAATGGTGACCCGGGGGGTGCACCACCAACATTCACAAAGGCATCCAGGGAGCAGGCTTCAGGAAGCATGCCCCTCGGGTGCTCAGAGAGACCTGGAAGTTTGCCATGAAGGAGATCGGAACTCCAGATGTGTGCATTGATACCAGGCTCAGCAAAGCCATCTAGGCCAAAGGAATAAGGAACACCATACCGCATCCACGTGAGATTGTCCAGAAAATGCAATGAGAATGAAGATTCACCAAACAAGCTCTACTCTTTGGTTACCTATGTACCTGTCACTACTTTCAAAAATCTACAGTTAATGTGGATGAGAACTGATTGAAGTTGTAAAACTGCAGAAAAAAAAAAAAAAACCACCAGTAACAACAAAAAATCACCAAAACCTATTATTAGTAAAATGATGCAGTCTTACCTATGGCGCGATCCACACCCCGGACACCATCCTAGGCTCTAGCCCCTGCCGCCATTGCTGGAAGCCAGGTGGCCCCCCAGCCCCACCCCCATTCTAATGGGATTTGCTGCTCCTACTTCCCTGCCTGATCGCCGGGAAAGGTTCAAGAGGACCTGTTCCCAAACAGGTGCTCTCGCTGATCTCTCTCTCTTACCCTCTTGCCCTCTTCCCCCAGCCTTTTGGGCTTCCCCCACGGACAATAAACCTCTCCTCCAACTCCGGTGTTTGGTGCGTTTTGTGGCAGCCTTACACCTGTCATGGTGGCTCAATCAGAGCTGTTTTATTTTGGACACTGGTGATGCCTATCCCTGTGGTTTCATTAACCCTTTTCCTTTCAGATACCTGGGAGCTGAACTCTGTGGGCTTAAGCGTAAGGCAGAAGAAGTCAAATGTATTTCTGACTTTGTTGAGCCTGAGAATTCCACAGACGAATATGAACACATCAACCTGATGATGGACAGGATGGATGACTGCTTGTCCCCAAGTCCTGAAGTGGGTGCAGTGACACAAAAGGAGCCCCATCTCCTCAAACTGTCTTGGAGTTTGGCCCAGTGGAGGGGCTCCTGGGACCTCTCTTCCCCTGAGGAACTCTGTTGATAATGTCATGATGTCATCACAAAGCTTGAGGAGTATGATGTCATAACCACCCAAGGCATGAGAAGCCTTATGGAGAAGGGAGGGGAAGGCCATGTTTCTGTCAGTGAAGGGGTACAGGGGAAGTGAAGCGGGGACCCCCTGGAAATCCCTGTTAGGAGACATCATTTCTGACCATGGTTAGGAAGAAAGCTTGTTTTCTTTTTTTTTTTTCTAATTTAAAAAATTTTTTTGACAAGCAGAGTTAGACAGTGAGAGAGAGAGAGACAGAAAGAAAGGTTTTCCTTTTTCCGTTGGTTCACCCCCCAAGTGGCTGCTACCGCCGGCGTGTTGCGGCCGGTGTGCCATGCCAATCCGAAGCCAGGAGCCAGGTGCTTCCTCCTGGTCTCCCATGCAGGTGCAGGGCCCAAGGACCTGGGCCATCCTTCACTGCACTCCCGGGCCACAGCAGAGAGCTGGACTGGAAGAGGAGCAACCGGGACAGAATCTGGTGCCCCGACCAGGACTAGAACCCAGGGTGCCGGCACCACAGGCGGAGGATTAGCCTAGTGAGCCACAGAGCCAGTCCAAAAGCTTGTTTTCCTTTTTTTTATTATTATTATTTAATAAATGTGAATTTACAAAGTGCAACTTTTGTATCGTTGTGGCCCCCCCCCCCAACCTCCCTCCCTCCCACGGCCCTCCCCTCTCCCACTCCCTCTCCCATCGAGTTTCATTTTCAATTACCTTCATATACAGAAGATCAACTTAGTATATACTAAGTAAAGATTTCAACAGACTGCACTCACACAACTGCTCAAGGTATAGGGTATTGTTCGACTGGTAGTGTTGTTTTTAAGTTTCATAGTAAAACACATTAAGGACAGAGATCCTACATGGGGAGCCTGTACCCAGTGACTCCCGTTGTTGATTTAACAATTGGCACTCTTATTTACGGCATCAGCAATCCCCTGAGACTCTTGCTATGAGCTGTCTAGGCTATGGAAGCCCCTTGAGTTCACCAACTCTGAACTTGTTTAGTCAAGGCCGTATCACAGTGGAGGTTCCTTCCTCTCTCCAGAGAAAGGCACCTCCCTCCTTGATGGCCTGTTCCTTCCGCTGGGGTCTTGTTCACCAGGATCTTTCATTTAGATTGCTTTTGCCACTGTGTTGTGGCTTCCCATTCCTGTGAGACTCTCATGGGCCTTTTAGCCAGATCCGAATGCCCCCAGGGTTGATTCTGAGGCTGGAGTGCTGTTTTGGGCGTTTGCTATTCTATGAGTCTGCTGTGTGTCCTGCTTCCCCAACAGGATCATTCTCTCCCTTTTAATTCTATCCTTCATTGTTTGCTTACACTGGTCTTATTTGTGCAATCTCTTCGACACTTACCCTATCTTTTTGATTGGTTGTGTACTTATACTTATCACTTTACCAAGTGCGCTGGCATTGGTACATGCCTCCTTGATGAGATTGGGTTGAAATACCCTGGCACATTTCTAGTTCCACCTTTAAGATAAACCAATGGACAGCATCATATTGAATGGGGAAAAGTTGGAGGCATTTCCATTGAAAACTGGCGCCAGACAGGGATGCCCACTCTCACCATTGCTATTCACTATAGTCCTAGAAGTGTTAGCCAGGGCCATCAGGCAAGAAAAAGAAATTAAAGGGATACAAATGGGAAAGGAGGAAGTTAAACTATCCCTATTTGCAGATGACATGATACTATATATAGGGGACCCAATAAATTCCTATAACAGACTATTGGAACTCACAGAAGAGTTTGGTAAAGCAGCAGGATACAAAGTCAACGCTCAGAAATCAATAGCCTTTGTATACACAGATAATGCCGTGGCCGAGGAAGAACTTCTAAGATCAATCCCATTCACAATAGCCACAAAAACAATAAAGTACCTTGGAATAAATTTAACCAAGGATGTCAAAGACCTCTATGATGAAAATTACAATACACTAAAGAAAGAAATAGAAGACCACACACACACACACACACACACACAAAAGGAAAAACCTGCCATGCTCATGGATTGAAAGAATCAATATCATCAAAATGTCCATTCTCCCAAAAGCAATTTACAAGTGTAATGCAATACCAATCAAAATACCAAAGTCATTCTTCAAAGACCTAGAAAAAACGATGCTGAAATTCATATGGAGAAACAGGAGACCGAGAATAGCTAAAGCAATCCTTTACAATAAAAACAAGGCTGGAGGCATCACAATTGCAGACTTCAAGACATACTACAGGGCAGTTATAATCAAAACAACCTGGTACTGTTACAAAAACAGATGGATAGACCAATGGAACAGAATAGAAACACTGGAGATCAATCCAAACATCTATAACCAACTCATATTTGACAAAGGACCTAAAACCAACCCCTGGAACAAGGACAGTCTCTTCAACAAATGGTGTTGGGAAAACTGGATATCCACATGTTGAAGTATGAGGCAAGACCCCTACCTTACACCTTATACAAAAATCCACTCAACATGGATCAAAGAACTAGAGATATGCCACGACACCATGAAACTAATTGAGAGCATAGGGGAAACTCTCCAAGATATTGGAACAGGCGAAGAATTCCTGGAGAAGACCCCAGAGGCACAGGTAATAAAAGATAAAATAAACAAATGGGATTACCTCAAATTGAAAAGTTTCTTTACAGCAAAGGAAACAGGAAAGTGAAGAGGCAACCAACAGAATGGGAGACGTTATTCGCAAACTACACAACAGATAAAGGATTAACAACTAGAATCTACCCAATGATCAAGAAACACCACAGAATCAAAACAAACAACCCAATTAAAAAAAAATGGGCCAAGGGCCTTAACAGACATTTTTTAAAAGAGGAAATCCAAATGGCCAACAAACACATGAAAAAATGCTCAGGATCCCTAGCCATCAGGGAAATGCGGATCAAAACTACAATGAGGTTTCACCTCTCTCCGGTTAGATTGGCTTAAATACAGAAATCAACCAACAACAGATGCTGGCGAGTATGTGGGGAAAAAGGGACACTAATCCACTGTTGGTGGGAATGCAAACTGGTAAAGCCACTATGGAAGACAGTTTGGAGAGTCCTGAGAAACCTGAATGTAGCACTACCACAGGACCCAGCCATCCCACTCCTTGGAATTTACCCAAATGGAATTAAAGGGAGAGAAAAAGAGCCATTTGCACCTCAATATTTGTTGCAGCTCAATTCACAATAGCTAAGACCAAGCAACCTAAATGTCCATCATCGGATGACTGGATAAAGAAACTATGGGATATGTACTCTATGGAACACTATACAGCAGTAAAAAACAATGAAATCCGGGCATTTACAACAAAATGGAGGAAGCTGGAAAATATCATGCTGAGTGAAATAAGCCAGTCCAAAAGGGACAAATATCATATGTTCTCCCTGATCGATGGCAACTAAATGAGCATCTAAAATGATACCCATTGAAGTGAAATGGACACTATGAGAGACAATGACATGATCAGCCCTTGCCTAGACTGTTAAGGAACAACTTACTATTTTATTCCTTTTAGTATTTTGTTGTTGTTGTTGTTGTTGCTCTGTTTGCTCTCCTTAATACCACTGGTTGAATTCTGTAATCAACACACAATCATTGTTATGTGTTTAAAAATTAACAGAAAAGTGATCTCTGTTAAACATAGGAGTGGGAATAAGAGAGGAAGGAGATATATAGGTCAGCACAGGCTCACTCAAAAGCTTGTTTTCAAAAAGAACAAACCCCAGCAAACTGAACAAACTCTGTATGGCAAACTGTGGTAGCTGAAGGCACCCCCGAGCTCCCCACTCCACATCTTGTACTCCCCAGGGTCAGGGACAGCCTCTGGGTAGAAATGGAGTGGCTGGAGCAGAGAGAACACAGGTGTTAGATGGCCTGAGTTAATAAGAACGACCTGAGGCTGTGCACAGCTTGGTCTCCACGTCAGCTTCAAGGGCTCCCCCTTCCCCATTCAGCAGGTCTCTGATTGCACCTGCAGACTCTACCCCCTGAGACTGCTCTGACTGCCGGAGCTTGTCCACCTGGGCAGCCACAGCTGGAAAGGTGGTGGCTCAGCAGCTGCCCTCCTGTAGCTGAGGGAGCATGCAGCGTGGGGAGAGATAGTCACAAGTCCTGAGGGTGGTGGGTGACCTGCCCGGATCCCTCACCCACCAACCCTGGTGCTCAGTGTAGGCTCTGATGTTCTGCTACGACACCCTCCCTGCTGCACATCTCTGTCCATCACGGGTGAGTTTGCTCACACCATGCTGACCCCATTCTGTGGCCGTTCCACCTGTTGGATCATATACCCTTGGTGGCCTCCACCCTGTGGCTGGATACTGCTCTTTTTTCTATTTGATAGATATGGAATGGAAGACACAAAGAACTACCTAGCCCAGGGTCACAGAGGTGGGAAGTGCTGGAACTGAGGTCCCATCCCAGAGAGCGGGTCCAGGGCTCCTAAACATAACCACCTCTCCCTCCCAATAGGGCATTGGCTTCCTCTTCCCAGGGGTCTGTTTAGTATTTCATTAGACAGAGGCTCTCACCTCCTGTCTCCATCCTTTCTCTCTTAGTCAGGAATTGCTCATTGATCAAGTTTTTTGGCACCCCAAGTCCAGGGAGCTGCCCAACACAGCTCCTTTCCGTGTTCCCTTGAATAGCTTCAGGAGGGAGGGGAGCAAAGGTTCCCGATGCATGAAGATGGGCTTTGCTCTTAAAAGGAGGATCTAAGGGCAGGTGTCATGGCACAGTGCGCTAAGCTGCTGCTGGAATCCCACATGAGTTCGAGTCCTGGCTGCTCCACTTCTGATCCAGCTCCCTGCTAATATTCATGGGAAAGCAGTGGAGGATGGACCAAGTATTTGGGCCCATTTTGCTCTGGGTTTTGGGCTTTCCCAGCCCCAGCCATTGCAGCCATTTGAGGAATGAACCAGTGGGTGGAAGACTTCTTTCTGTATGTGTCTCTCCCTCACTCTCTGTGACTCTGCCTTTCAAATGGATAAATAAATATTTTTTAAAAGGGGGGAGGCCTAAATCCGTTTGAGGAGAGGCTAACGAATTTCCTGGTGAGCAGTGTTTGATGCTAATTTTACCAAGCAGAGGTTCATAAATACCTGAGTGCTGCAGCTAGCTAGGAGGCCTCTGTGGCTGGATCAACACAGCTGTTCACTAATTAGTCATTAGTTAACACTAATTAATTAGTAGGAAACTTAGCCATTAGTCAG